ACCAAAAGGTCAGTGGTTTGAACCTACCAGCTGCTCCACAGAAGAAAGATGAGGCAGACTGCTTCTGTTAAGTTCACAGCCTTGGAAACCCATTGGGAGTCTCTATGAGTGAGGATTGACTTGATGGCAGTGAGTTTGGTTTGTTTTGTTTTGGGATGAAATGCACCAATTGAAAATTACTAACATGAAAAGGGAACTCATCAGAATACTGGTTACCTCTGCAGAAATATTGACTGCGAAGAGGTATGAGCAGATCTTCTGAGGTGCTGGCTATGGGTGATGGTGGTTAAACAGTTATAGATGAATGTGGCTAGCTGTACACCTCAAGATCTGTGCACTTTATTATATGTAAGTTATACCTCAGTTAACAAAGTAAGGCCTCTTGGATCTCATATCCGGGTGCCACTTTTTTTTTTTTTCAATGGCATTTTCCATGCATAGGTTGTATCCCTGAAGACCTTAACCATGGCCCCTCTCCTTCTATTTCCTTGAACATGGCAGCAGACATTTTTATGTTACAGCCCCACAGATTTTGGTCTACATTCACTCTTCAACCTTCATTTGGTCAAGGCCAATAGAACTTACCATAATAGACACTTGAAGAGCAAACAAATGACCCAATCTCACCAAAATGAATGAAAGGATGGCATTAGTGTAACTCCAAAGACCAATATGGGGAGGAATGATTCATTCATGCCTGAAACACAATTATAGCTATGCTGATAAATATGGCTATAAGAGATTAGCCCATCAAGTACTTGGAGAACGTGCACCAACTATTAGTGCTTCTCAGACAGGGCTTCCCTAGTCCTCCCACTAGGACACCCTGCTTTTGTAATCCTCTCCTAAGTAGCTGGAAATACCAGCTCTGGATTAGCCAACAAAAGAAGAGATCTCATCTTCAAGGACACTTTTAAGAGGCAATCATTACAGGCATACCTCAGAGATATCATGTGTTCAGTTCAAGACCACCACAATTAAGCAAATATCACAATAAAGCGAGTCACATAAAATTTTTGTTTCCCAGTGCACATACAAGTTATGTTTACATATACTGTAGTCTATTAAGTGTGAAAAAGCATTATGAAAAGCCTGAAATAGTGTGAGAATTACCAAAATGTGACACAGAGACACAAAGTGAGCATGGGCTGTTGGAAAAATGGTGCTGACAGACTCGCTCAATGCAGGGTTGCCACAAACCTTCAATTTGTAAAAAAAGAAAAAAAAAAGTATCTGTGAAGTGCAATAAAGCGAAGAACAATAAAACAAGGTGTGTTTGTATTTGGGGATGTAGGGAGGGTTCTTGATGACTGTACTGGGGATGGGGAGGGTAGAGAAGGGGAGAAAGCCTTATTTTCACTCATAGCATATTAGCATAACTTAATTTATCAGAGTAGCCTGTTGTCAATTAAGTATTTTTGGCAGAAGACACAGAGGATGTGAGGGTCTTCAAATCTCTAGGTGAAGGGTAGTGGCATGGGGGGCAGGTAGAGAAGGGAGGTGGTGAGAGCAATCAGCAATTAAGTCCTGCAGGGAGGAGCAGTTTATCCCTCTGATGTATTCAGAATTGCCAGTGCAAGGTAAAAGATGAAGGCAGATGGACTTTTGTTGGTTTTATTTTTATTTGTAAATTCTCTACAGACCATGAAGCTTCTTATTGCCTGTACCCCATGTGAACAACTCCCACCCTACCATTGGTACAATGGTGAAGAAAAAAGCAAACCAACTAAAAACAAACCAGTTGCCATCAAGTCAATTCTGAGTCATGGCGACATCATGTGTGCAGAGTAGAACTGTGTTCCTTAGGGCTCTCAAGGTGGTAACCTTTTGGAAGCAGATTGCCAGGCCTTTCTTCTGAGGTACCTGTGGATAGGTTCAAACCACCACCCTTTTGGTTAGCAGTTGAGTGTTTAACCATTTGCACCATCCAATGACTCTCCAGTGGCAAAGAAGAGTGCTCAAATAGTGAGGGTGGGAAAGGGATAGTGGCTGCTGTTGGTAGGTGCTGTTGAGTTGGCTCAGATGCATATCAACCCTGTGTACAGCAGAACAAAACCCTGCCTGGCCTGTGCCATCCTCACAATCCTTGCTATACTTGAGCCCATCATTGTAGTCTCTGTGTCAATCCATCTTATTGAGGGTCTTCCTCTTCTTCTCTGACCCTCTACTTTACCAAGCGTGATAGACTAGCTAAAGTCTCAAATCCATGTTTAGAAAAGCATTAAGATAGCACTTTTAAAAAAATAGCATTTTTGTTCGTTTGCTTGCAAAACACACCTGCCCACCAGAAGCTGCTAGGCCTCCTCCAAAATCAATTGGGGATTACTCACAAAGTGAGTCAAGTGTAACTAGCACGTTCTTAAGGACTTGAGTTGGTCTCTACAGAGGAAAGATTTTTCTTTTTGTTTTTAGGGCTCCAGGGATTTTTCTTAGAAGTAAATGCTGAAATGTGTATGTTCTAAAATATGCGAGTTCTTACACCAGCCTGGGTTTGCTGCAGTGCTTATTAATGTCAGTTATTTTTTGGAGCACTGTCTTTGCTTCCCTTGGTTATCTGTCATGATTCCTGGATGACTGTTGTAACAGTTCCTGAAATGTCACAGTGTTAAGAACAGTCATATAAATTCATCCTATCTGCAGAGCATCCCATTCTTCATAAAGTAATTTGGCTTCTCGGAGACCTTTGAGTCTCACAAGCCTGTAAGGAAAGTGGAGCTATGTTCATGTCCAGCAATGAGTTCAACCCAGCTCAGTGGCCCTAAGAAGACTGGCACCATGTTTATTCTAGAGCCAGAATCACCTTCATTCCCACCAATAATTTTGCCCCTGATCTCAGCTCTGTTGACTTTTCTACTAACAGAGAAAACTTAATCAAGAAATTCTCACTAAGCCAAATCTCCATAAAAGATCACTCAGAGACCTGGGAACTTGGTACGTTAAACACCGGAGTACAAGTTTAGCTTGGGCACTTTGGTTGCCTTTTCCAGAAAATGGACATCAAATCAATACCTGCCCTACTTATAGGAAGATGGTAATGTCTACTGGGAAAACAAAGATAACATATTTTTGTTCTTGGGCTCCAGAAACATCAGATATCCTTATCTTGTTGGTCAGCAGATAGTCATCACAACAGACCACTGGAGAGAACTTCACAGAACTCTGCAGGGCCAGAGCACACGGCAGATAGGCTAGTCATGTGAGCCAACTGGTTCTGTCCTCTTTTTTCTTTCAGGGTGGATGAGGAAGGGACAGTTGTTTGAAGCTCAAACACTAAGCCCAGTCAAAGAGGAAAACATGCAAATGACGGTTTCTCCCTCATGTCAGATGTGATCTCTCTCTCTCTCTCTTCTCTCCTGCAACAGTGATCCGGTACAACAGTGATCTGGTACAGAAATACCACCCTTGCTTCTGGATTGATGGGCAGTATCTTTGCTGCTCGCAGACGGCCAAAAATGCCATGGGCTGCCAAATTTTGGAGAACAGGAATGGAAGTAAGAGATCTGATCAGTATAATTTCTTCCTCCTCTGACTCTATTTCCATCACTCTCCAAGAGTCTAACCCAACTTGCCAAACCCAGGCACACATTGCGCATGGTTTTTCCTTTTGGCCCTGGCACAAAGGGGCCTGGGAGAGGGGATGGGAGTCCAGCTGAGGCTCTGCTCTCCAAGCTGTGTGCCCTGACACAGGGCTGTATCCACCCATCCTCTTTCTACCTTACCTAAAGGCACTGCGTACAGGAGCCAAGTTCCCGACTAAACCTGACCCTGAAGCCTTTCCTGAAATACATTCTGTATTGTCACTGGCTTCTTCTTTTTCAGGCTTAAAACCTGGGAGCTCCCACCGGAAGACGAAAAAGCCTCTTCCTCCCACTCCTGAGGAGGACCAGGTATATTGGGGGAAATTGGATGGTGCTACTGCTTAGATGGAAATTTACAGTCATGCCCTGGAAACACACTGTTGTTGTTGTTATGTGCCATTGAGTCAGATCTGACTCATAGGCATAGCGACCCCTCCTTGGGTTTCTGAGGCAGTATCACTACAGAAGTAGATTGCCCAATCTTCCTTCTAAGGAGTGGCTGGTGGGTTTGAACCTCCAGCCTTCTGGTTAGCAGTCAAGTGCTTTAGGCACTATGCTACCAGAGCTCCCTGGAAACACACTAGAGTCTTAGAATTCCCCTGGGTTTTGGCAATGTTAATCAGCATTCTTCCTGGGACAGAGGATTTGTCCTGCTTATTAGGACTTCCTCTTCACTGGAAAGGTAGAGTGCTTTTGGCAACAATGTAATCTAATCATGTGTTTGAAGCACACTCACAAAGCTTGGTATTTCCACTGTCATTTTATTTTTTAAAATTTGAAGCATACAGTAAAGTTGAAAAAATTGAACAGTAAACAACACCTAGAATCTACCACTAACATTTTACTTTAAAATTTGATTTTTGGGGGGTTACTCTTTGAGGTCTAAAACATCCTTTATCCTATATTGTAAGTAAGCAACACGGATATTATTACACTCATTTTACAAATATGGAAACTGAGGTTCTGAGCCACTTACTAGACCAACTAACTGGTTCGGTGCCAAGTAGGTTTTCTAACCTTAGTTGTACATGGTATTTGCCTAGGAAGCTTCAAATATACTGATGCCTGGGTTCTACTCTCAGAGATTTTGATGTAATTAGTAATTAGTCTGGGAAACTGCCTGAGTGTCAGGATTTTTAAAAGCGCTCTAGGTGATTCCATTGCGGGTAGTTGTAGTCGGTGGTAGAATTCTCACCTTCCTTGCTAGAGACCTAGGTTTGATTCCTGGTCAATGCACCAAGTAGCCACTTCTGGTCTGTCATTGGAAGCTTGTGTGTTGCTATGAGGCTGAACTAATTTCAGCGGAGCTTCCAGACTAAGATGGACTGGGAAGAAAGCCCTGGGGATCTACTTCTAAAGATCAGCCAATGCAAACACTATGGATCCCATTGTGCACAGGATCACCATGAGCTGGTGACCAACTCTATGACAGCTAAGAAAAACAACAGGTGATTCTAATGTGCACAACCCAGGCTGAGAACCCCCCACTGGTGTTTTAAAGATGGTTGTTCAATGAACGCTAAATAGACCTTTTTTTAATGCTTGATTTTGGTTAGAATGGGGTCTCTGGTAAGTCAGAAAGTTGGGGGAGATTATCAGAATGCTTTATATCTAGCCAAATCCCCGCTACTTTTTCCTCCTAACTATGTAGATCTTGAAAAAGCCACTACCCCCTGAGCCAACAGCAACCCCTGTCTCCACAAGTGAGCTGAAAAAGGTGGTAGCCCTTTATGATTATATGCCAATGAATGCAAATGACCTACAGTTGCGAAAGGGTGAAGAGTATTTTATCCTGGAGGAAAGCAACTTACCGTGGTGGAGAGCTCGGAATAAAAATGGGTGAGTTCATGCCAGCCATTCCTGAGCCTTGTGCCCACCCACTCCACTAATAAACAAACCCACTGCCATGGAGTTGATTCTGATTCATAATGAGTCTATAGGACAGAGCAGAACTGCCCCACAGGGTTTCCAAGGCTGTACATTTTTATGGAAGTGGACTACCTCATCTTTCTCCTGCAGTGCCACTGCTGAGTTCAAACCGCTGACCTTTTGGTGAGCAGCCTTTTGGCCTCACCCACTACACCACCAGAGCTCCCTACCAACTCCACACTCACTCCACACCCTTGCAAAACCCTGCAGCCTAATTCCCCTGCTCAGTATCCTGATTGCTATGTGCCAAAGTGAATATGATCTCTCCAGGCACTTCCTACCATGTAGCTCTCTATAGGGCTCTGCCACCACTCTGAGCCTGTAGGGTATGGCTCACATGTTGTCATGCACATAGAACCAATGTCACATGAGTAGAGGCCATCCACTTAAGTGGCCTAACCATGCATCAGAGACATGATCCCCTTTGAGAGAACTAAAACCCAAACCCATTGCCATCAAGCTGATTGTGACTCACAGTGACCCCACTGGGTTTCCAAGGTGGTAAATCTTTACGGAAGTAGATTGCTTCATCTTCCTTCTGTGGAGCAGCTGGTGGGTTATGAACCATCAACCTTCTGCTTAGCAATCAAATGCCTTAAGCACTGGGCCACCAGAGCTCTTTTCTCTTTGTGAGAGGGACATGATATAAATATACCTCCATTTGAGATTGGTTTTGAGCCCAGAGATATGGGTATATGAATCTGTTTCTCCCGCAAAATGAGGAGATGCCGGATAATCTACCATGTTGTCTCCTCTACAGGGAGGAAGGCTACATCCCTAGTAACTATGTCACGGAGGCAGAAGACTCCATAGAAATGTATGAGTGAGTATGCTTATGTTCGCAGCGCACAATCTTCCAGGAGGAACAGAATAGAGTATATATCTTTTTTATGCCTTTAACAAATGTTTAATTGTAAGATACAGGTTTTCCCCACTATTTGAAGGTAGAGCATTTCAAGGAAACCTTTCCTAAGCCAAAATGGCATAAAGTGAAGAAGCAATTACCATTATTTTGTATGGCAAAATTTTTTGAGGGTTCCCAGACCCAAAAAACTAACCTACCAAATCATACCAAACGACATATAAAACCTAAAATAACACTAACATATAGTGTTCACAGATACAGTTCAAAGCTACATCAGCTTGATGCTAAGATGCTGAGTGTAGTTACCTGAGAGGGAGCTTAGCAATGCCACTCTCCAAGCTCTGGGTGCAGGCTGCCTCCTTAACAGCTTGTTGCAAAACAATCTGAATGCTAATTTTGCTTTTTCTTTCTAAAAGTAAAAATCCTCTTTGGATTTTTTTTTTTTTTGGTTAGAGAAAATAGGTACTAATGGAGGTCATACGTAAAAGCAAAGTGGCGTAAAGCAAACCTTCAAAAAGCAGGGGACACCTGCACATATTAAAAGTGCCAATTTAAAAAAAAATCAGTGCTGACTGGGTCAAATGATGCTACCACCCCAAGTTAATACCTATTTCTTACTCTCGCCTCAAACACCCTCTGCTTATGAGAGCTGGTGAGGTAACCAAACACCTCCCAGGTCCAGAAGAACCAGAGTTGACAGCCTGATAGGAAACATTTCAAAGGGTAAAAACGCCAAACTTCTATTGTCTTTTTCTTCATAATCACAGAAGTGGATTGTCTTTGAGAGCCCTGGTCCCTTGACTCTCCCCTGTCCATTTCCATGAATCTTTGGTGCCAAGCTGGGTTGGGAAAAGCAGACAGTGTGCTAGGCACAGGCTCCAAACCCATTGCCACTGAGTCAATTCCGAGTCATAGCAACCCTCGAGAACAGAGCAGAACTGGCCTCATAGGGTTTCCAAGGCTGTACATTACGAAAGCAGACTGCCTCATCTTTCTCCCACAAAGTGCCTGCTTGGTTCAAATTGCTGACCTTTTGGTTAGCAGCTGAACACTTAGCCACTGTGCCCCCTTGGCTCCTCCAGGCACATGATCAAAAAACTTACTGTCATTGAGTCAATTCCAACTTATAGTGACCCCCATTGGGTTACTTTACAGAAGCAGACTGCCTCATCTTTCTTCCACAGAGGAGCTGGTCGATTTGAACTGCCAACCTTCTGGTTAGCAGCCAAATGGCTTAACCATTACACCACCAGAGCTCCTTTCCAGGCACATGCTAGGCTCTCAAAAAAGAGGGTTTGAGTGAATTGATTGAAACAGTGACATGGACCAGCCCTGGAGGTCACTCTAACCTCTGAACTGATTACTACATGGCCTCAGAGCCACTGAAGCACCTTTCCTTTCTAGGTGGTATTCTAAACACATGACTCGGAGTCAAGCTGAGCACCTGCTAAAGCAAGAGGTAAGTGTTAGACCATAAACAAATATGGGGACAAGCAAGCAGCTTTGTCCTTGCACAATAAGCAAGGATTCTGAATTAAGGGCCTGCTGCTGCCCACCACCTCCAGGCAAGGCAGTGACAAGGCCACCATCCATGGGCTGCCAATTCCACTTCTCAGTATCAAAAGCAAGGAGGCTGCAGCTCAAGCATGGAACTTGGCAGGAAAATCAGGGCTTCTGTTTTCTCTCAGGTTTGGGCAGGTGGGATGCAGGGATAAGCACTACTTCCTCCTACAGTCAGCTTCTTTTTCATGGTTTCAGGGGAAAGAAGGAGGTTTCATTGTTAGAGACTCCAGCAAAGCTGGAAAATACACCGTGTCTGTGTTTGCCAAATCGACAGGGTAAGTATTACTACTCCAAGGTGCTGGCAAGAAAGGAAGGAAGGGGGGGTGCCCTCCCAACAGTTCCTTCATGGTGGGCCCCATCCCATTCCTCTGTCCCTTGAATGTAAAACTCATCTCACTTCACTTTTTTTTTTTAAGAGCTTGTTTTACATTCAACGTAACATGTACATTTAGTTTCATTCCCCATTCGCCATGTCCAACCCTAACCCAGTCTCCTCCCCTCCCTACCCTATAACCCTCCCCCTGTGCCCCTCATATTTATGCACTCCTGTTTGTCCTGCATTTCCTCTTGAGTCCCACTGACACTGGTTCCCAAGTTGTTGACACAGCTTCTACTTCCTCAGGGATCCTCAAGGGGTGATACGCCATTATGTTGTGTGTTCCACACCTCAGAGCCAGTATTACCTGGCTGAGAAGCACCTTTTCAGCACCATCCCTGAACTCATCAACTACCATCAGCATAATTCTGCAGGTGAGTCATGGGTAACTGAAAAGAAAGATGTTACAAACACCTAGAGAAGCAATCGAGGACACAGTGGCAAGGGGAAGAATAAGGGGAGTGTGGATCAGTTGTGAAAATTCACCCCTATCCAGCCGGACAGAGGTCAAGTAAGGAGGTGATCAAAGGTAGACTTGACACCCAGCAGGGACTGATTCTTCTTTTGGTGGTTGATCAGTTGATTTAAATGCTCAGTGCTAAGGAAAGACACAGAAGACCCTGGTGGTTGATGGGTCAGCAACTGTTTATTGAGTTCCCAATGTGTGTTCAGAAATTTCCTCAGTACTAGCCTGGCGATCTACTTCTGAAAACTCAGCCATTAAAAACCTTATGGAGCACAGTTCTACTCTGACAAACCTGGGGTCACCATGAATCAGATTCAACTGGGCAATCGCTGTAAAAAAAAAAAAAAAGAAAAAGAAAGGAAAAGAAAAGAAAAAAGAAGAACAGAGAGAAGCACACAGGAAAGGAATGTTATGAGGCAAGGTCCTTTCCTTCAAAGAACATTCAGGTTAGAAAACATCAGAGGCCAGTTTCTAAGTCCTTCAAAAATTCTAAAAACTGGAAGACTGGTGAGGGCATCGATTCAGGGGAACAGTTTCACTGAGAA